TATAATGGTTTCTTGGTTGGAGATTTGTATTGTATTTATATTGTTTGTAGATCGCATTTCACGCAAGACCTTTCTAGAGATGATGAGGGTAGTTTCGTGAGAAGGATGGAGTATTTGGATATTGAAATGTCCTTTGATTCCTGAGACTCAAGGAGGCCTCGCCACGTGCAGATCCTTATGCTTGGTTGGAGATTAGCTTCAGCTAGGCATTAGAGACCATTGGAATATTTGTATTGTTTATGGATTGCATTTTACCCTAGGTCTTTGTAGAGATGAGTGGAAGATTTGAAGATTTGAATAGTTGTCCACGTGGAGATAAGCTTCAACTAGACACTTGAGACTATTGGTGGCTTTATATTGTTTGTGGATTGTAATAATCCAAGTCTAGCATCAAGTCCTAATTCTTTGTACTCGTGCGATTGCCTCGTGTGATATAATAATGTACAGGAGTGAATAACCCACTGGACCATCTTCTAGGCTGACCTAAATCTCCTGAATCTCCTGAATCTACGTATTCACTAACTAGGATTGAAAATAATCCAGTTGGTGGATGTTTGCTCACGTTTGACACCCAAGTTCTGGGCCCTATTTCATCTGTAAGCATAACTTAAAATAGTTTCCACCTGTATTAGGACTTTCACGTTCTTTTAGATCACCCTATGCTAGAAGCCTGGAATATCAACCCAATATCCTTTCTTCTTATTTGAAACTGTGCTTCGCCTACACCGATAGCCTGGACATTCGAACAAACGACGCCAACTCCTGGCGCCTGTCCCCGACGAAGAATCAGCTTTTGCTCGTTAAAACGTTTCAGTCAGCCGTCAACCATGAGAGGTGCTTCGCGAAGTGGGCCGCTGGAAAGCGAATAAGAAAAAACGACGAAGAGAGAAGGAGACGACACGGAGTCCGTTTATTGCGAGAGAGTCAAAACAGAAGAGGAACCACACAATACTGGCGTTTGTTCGATCGAGCCACCCCTGCGCCGCGGACGTATTAAAATCAATGACTGGCTTTGATCGGAAAGCCGCGTGTACACGCACGCGGGAGCGCCATGCGTTTTCTCCGCAGCGGGACGCGATTATCGCGATCTTCAGACGATTTCACTCGTGTCCAGATTGATGCGCGTCTCTCGGTCGTCGCAAACGACTCGTCGAATTTAGGTTAGGTTCCACTGGCGACCTGTCGTTCGTCTGGTTTTTTAAACCAGAGGTTCTTTGAAAATTAATATTTATTCTTGGTTATTCTTCAAAGGTACGGCTTTTTGGCAAGCTTCATGAAGGATTGATGGTTTTTTTTAGAGACACCAAGTTCAACAAAATCCTATTTATAGAGATTAAGAAACAATGTGCTGACGAATCCCTCTTCAAGTAAAGAAATCCTAACAGCAATTCCTAATAATCAATAAACATCACAGTTTGACAATCAGTCTGGCAAAAGAGAAACCTCAGTAATAGAGGTTTCTTGGTGCGAAAATACCAAGGCCTCGCTATTAGTCCTAGTCCAGGTTTGACCATCAACCACAGCCATACTCAAAATCTGAACCAGTTCACGTAACGTTTACATTCTAAATTATCTACCTATCACCTATTTTCACATGATTTTCTCTAAATAATAAACATAGAACCTGCTTTTGGCTTATTTTAGGGCTCCACAAAATATATAATCGTTACCAAGGGTTCCACCGCCAAGCAAGTTTGAGGACCGCTGATCTGCCATAACCAAAATATCAGAATTGTCCCTGAAACGTTGAAACCAGGTCCCGAGGCATCGGCCGTCGTCAATGGGAATTACAGCGCGTTAGCCAATGTTACACAGACGTTACAACAGCGTCGCCCACGCGACGTCGATGACCCGTAAATCAGGAGGCAGAAGAGGACCAAAAGAAACGAACGAGATCGCGTCACGAATGGTCCAACTCCCGCTCGATAAAAAGTTGGAAGGAGAGGTACTCACTCTGACAATCGGCAACCGTGGGCGATCCTTGCGTGCAGGTCCCGTGGATCCCATTGCTGGTGGGTGGCTGGACGGCGCCCAAACTTCGATAGCCCTCGTCGGAGACCTCGCTGCAGTTGTCGGAGTGCTCGCCGTCGCCGTGGGGGGACTTGGTGTACTGCACCGTCCCCGTGACGACGTCCTTGCCGAAGTTCTCCAACGCTGGCTCCTCTTTGATCGCCGGAGGACTGGGCGTGGGACTGCGGCTGCTGGAGTCCTCGCGACACTTGTAATTGTAGATGCTCGGCTCGTACTTCGGGGTGTCGTCCTTCTCCACCGCCCTGCGGGCCACGCCGCCCTCCACCACGTAGCGCTTCGCAAACTCCTCGGGCTGAGGCATCTTCGCACGGATCTCCTGGTGCTGTTCTTTCTTCGCGTCCTGGACAAAACAGTTTTCGACCGATTAGATCATTGACTGGAGAGGATCGAGGTTGGAAATTTAGGAGCAGTGGGGTTATGTTTGAGGGTCCCTTGAACGAACTCTAGATGGATAGGAGAATCTCTGACCTTAGAGATATTCTCTTTTGTACCCGATTTCTCTTTTGTATCCTATCCTGTTCTAGATTCTATGTCTGCTTTGAACCTCCTATCCTTCTAATCTTGGTGTCCTCCATGAACTCTA